TGCAGGTTGAGGCAGCCATCGAGAGGCCTCTTCCCCATCCCTTCCTCTACTGCTTCCTCCTCCTCTGAATGCCAAAGAGAACCCAGTTGAAGGAAACATGCAGTAATAATGATCAAATCTAAAGACAAAGTTTTGATCCAGAAGAACTCAACATAATTAACCCAGCTACTGCAAGGAGCTTCCGAGTAGGATTAAGATATTACAGATGGAGTGTTTCCACAGGCTGGCTCTTCACTGCATGGGCTGCTTGAGGGCAGGACACGCAGGAAACTGCTTGCTGGACTTAAAGTCACCCAGCCAGGGCACTGTTCCCATTCAGTGCCCGGGGACAACTTGTTGATGTCATTTATAAAGGCTTCTGATGCCTAGCTGTAAACTACTAACACAGTGGTTGCTTCAAAGACTTAGTACCAAAAAGAATAAGATCTCTCATTAATCATCTTTTAATAGGGATTATATGTTGAAATATTTTGTATATATTGGATTAAGTATCAAAATTTCATGTTTTTAATATGGCTAGAAAAATGCAGAACTACATCTAGCTTACATTTCTTTTGAACAGTGCTGTTCTAGCATCAACTCCAAGGGATTAGCTGCATTTATTAGCAGTGCATGGTTTCAGAAATTGGGCCCAATCAAAGTTTAACAGCTTCCTCTTACAGTAATTAGAACTGGTGTATTGGATTTCAGAGGGAGTGAACTTTTTTCTCTTCTAATTTGTAGGAAGAGCAGTAAACCTCATGAAGACATCATTGGCATCAGATCTCAAAACCAAGGCTCTTTGGCACAAGGAAAGAATTTTTTAATGAGCAAATTTTCATCTCTAAATCAAAAAGTGAAACAGACCAAATCTAATGTAAATATTGGCAATCTACGAAAGCTAGGAAACTTTGCCAAACCTGAAATGAAAGTTAACTTTCTAAAACCCAACTTAAAAGTGAATCTTTGGAAGTCAGATAGTAGTCTTGAAACCATGGAAACCACGGGTGTGATGGATAACAAAGTCCAGGCAGAGTCGGATGGGGAAATGTCTTTGGAGAATGACTCCTACCACTCTGATGAATTCCTTACAAATTCCAAATCTGATGAAGACAAACAGCTAGCTAATTCTTTAGAGAACGTAGGGCCAAGAGACTATGTTCTTCCTAGTTGTGGTATTATTGCTTCCGCGCCTCGGTTAGGCAGCCGGTCCCAGTCCATCAGCAGCACTGATCTTAGCATTCATGTTCCTTCAGAGACTGTTGCCCCTGGAAGTGGGTCTGGAAAAGGCCACGAGTCTCCTTTGAAGAAAAGCCCTTCTGCTGACAACATATACATACTGACTAGCTTTGCCAAGCCTGTGGATGTTTACTGCCATAGATTTGTACAAGACGCACAAAACAAGATGACCCAGCTGTCAGAACCAGGGTCCGTTTCTCAGCAGGTTAGTGAGGAAGGAAATCAAATGACCAATCAAATTTCTAAAGAAGAAACACAATCTGAATCAGCAGCACAGATACCTTCTCGGCCGTCTCAGTTAGATGTGTCTTTTCCTGCAGCAGGTCCCCAGTACTTGTCCGTCGAACCAGTGCATCCAGCTGTATCTCAAAAGACCCCTGGTTCTGGCTCCAGCATGGCTGAATTTGAGACAGGCCTTCACGTAACTCCTTCTCCTTCAGAGGGCAGTAGCAGCAGAGTAGTCTCTCCCTTTGCAAAGATTCGAAGTTCCATGGTCCAAGTTGCTACTATCACCCAAGCTGGCTTCACCCAGGGGATCCACTTCGCAGTGGCAAAGGTTCAGAAGAGCCCTGCAGAACCTGAAGGGGTTAATGAAGTCCAGCAAAATGAACTTAAAAATATGTTTACACAATGCCAGACACGAATAATTCAGATTTAATTTTTAGCCACAAAGAATCCTATGGCTTTTATTTAATCCAAAAAGGGGTTTCACATATTAGGCTATTTTAACCTGTTGTTTTTGAAGCTAGGGATCACAAATTCTAATTATGTTTATCGGGAAAGTTTTTAAAAGGAGCTGAACTTGGGCAGATTTCCAGATTTGAGAGCCAGGACGAAAGAAGTGTGTCATCCTAGAACGTGTAAACGTGAGTAGCTCATACACTACAGAGCAGTTGGTGTCTGAAAGTAATTTGGGGATAATTACTTAGAGACATAATAACCTGAACCTTTTGTGCAGTGGGTGGATAAGTGAAGCATAGGAAGTAAACACGAAGGATGAACATGGACACATTTAGGGGAATAGCTTTTTCATAATTTGTCTTCTGTTTGTCCATTCATTTCTGTGTTAAATATTTAGTTTTTAGTGACTTTTGAGTGTTACTAGTACGAAGAAGCATTTGAATATTAAAAAACTCTAGTTTTGATGGCTTAACCATTCCCTATTAAGAGTAAATTGAGGGTTACTGGCACTGCAGTCAAGAAAGGTATATGCCCGTTTGATCCTGATTTTCCCCACAGTCTACTTAAATTTAAAATACTCTGCCCCTTGTACACCCCAAAGTCTAGAATTAAAGACCTGTCAGTCATAAAACCTGAGACACCAGATGTAACTACCAGCACCTATTAAATTATTCTGCTGTTTTTAGGAATGGAAGACTACCTTTATCAGATACTGGTAATTCTTGAAATGAATGTTCAGGTTGTAAGTTTTTGCAGGGGAACATTCCTTAACCTCTTGTCTAGACTATAAACTGCAGAAAATTTAGTCTGATGCACAGCTGTACTAGAACTGATTCATGACTATGATCCTGACCCCATGGAACCGTGGCCTCAGAAAAGCCCATACAAGAACATTGCACACCTTATTCCAAACAAGTATTGGTTTGTCTGGTATCTTTAGAGCCTTACTCTGTTGAAGTGATTCTCAGCTAAACATTATGTCTGTTGTAACTTTGATAAGTATTTCAACATTTGTTATTTATTAGTGGTATCTTTTTTTGGGAAGTGTCAAATCTTGTGACTATTTAAAATAAAACATCATTGTAATTTAAAGTGACAACGTGTATGAGAATTCCTTAAATAATACTTTAAAGATAATGTTGATCTCTAAATCAGGTTAAAAAATTCATAAGGTAAATTTGCTATAACTGATCACTTGGGTCTCAGCCTTTCCAGTATTTTCCTCTCTTAAGTGTTTATATGTAGACCTTAAAAATGAAATGCATCACAAGCCATCAAATTTTAAACATCCAAACACTGAAACCGAACGCTTTATTCTGTTCTTTTCTTCTGGTCTTGAAAGTATTAAAGTGTGGCACAATGGGAGAGAAAATAAAAGCAAAGGTCAAGTGATAAATGTATCTTTTAAACTGCATGAAATGTGTCCCAAGGAGATTTGTGGAAACTAAAAAGAAGGCAATGTTTAATTCCAGGCAGGGTGTTATGTTCAGTTTCCCACTGACTCAAATAGGAATAGCAAACGTTCCTGTCCAGTGTGTGGGCAAACCAGGAAAGAAAGGTGGTTCTGAAGCCCAGGTTCCAGGCTCTTTCCCCAGTGGGAACCCAACAGGAGACTGCACGACCTCCCACGGTAAGCTTTTAGTAAAGGTTTCCCATAAGGAGGGCGTTGGACCTTTTCTCACGCATCACGGGGTAAGTCTTACAATAATGAACAATAACCCAAAGTACTAATAATTGGGGAAGTTTTGTTTATTTGAAAGAGCATTTTCCTTTCAAGGGAACTTTTCTGCAAGATCAAGCAAATTATGTACTTCCCTTTGGTAAATCACAATTCACGTTTGCACAATAACCACAGTAACTAATCTACTCTCTGGAATTTTGTTCCCACAAATCCAGTTGAGTCTTCATTTTGTTTCTAAAAGATTAAGGAAGTTTACTCTACCAGTTATAAAAATGAAAACCAGTTAGAATTCTAAATATAAACATTATTTACATTAGTTTGTAAAACTAGATTGGAGTTTAGGAAAAGTTAAACAGCTAGTCGTTTCTACTTCAGTTCATTAGGCATAATGAATTCCTTGCTTTTCAAGGCTCACCCTGTTTCCTTGTTTAGCAATATCAATTTGGAGGGGGAGGGGGAAGGATGCCAAAACAATACTTACAGGATCATTTAGCTGATCTGTGTCCCACTAGGTAAGTTACTGGCTTTAAAAAAAAAAAACAAAAACAAAAAACATTAATCTTCATACATAACCACTGATAACTTAAAAAAATGGTCTAAACTTTCCAAACATTCTTGATACCACAATTACACTACTATACTGTATTAAATTGCTTTCTAAGTATGGGTAATGATATTTTTGTTACTTTAAAAACTTTTAGGGGCACCTGCCTGGGTGGCTCAGTGGGTTAAAGCCTCTGCATTCGGCTCAGGTCATGATCCCAGTTTCCTGGGATCGAGCCCCATGTTGGGCTCTCTGCTCGGCAGGAAGCCTGCTTCCCTTCCTCTGCCTGCCTCTCTGCCTACTTGTGGTCTTTGTTTGTCAAATAAATAAATAAAACCTTTAAAAAAAAAAAAAAACCTTTTACATTAGGGGCACCTGGGTGACTCAGTCACAGTTAAGCTTCTGCCTTTGGCTCAGGTCATGATCCTGGTGTCTTGGGATAGAGCCCCGCATCAGGCTCTCTGCTCAGCAGGAAACCTGCTTCCCCCTCTCCCTCTGTTTCTGTCAAATAAATACAATCTTTAAAAAAAAAAAAAAAAAGTTAAATCTGTAACTGGTCTGGGAAAAACTTACCTATGGCTTTCTTGGGTATTCCTGGATTAGCAGATATGTTCGTTGACTAACACATCTGGAACTAATGGAAAAACTTACACAAAAGTTTAAAATCCAACACCATCATCAAAGCAACTAAATGACAATTACTAGGAAAACAATTTAAAACTTTATTTTCTACAGAAGGCATATTTTAAAAAGTTAACTTTGCTTTCTTCCTATTTGGGCAAAACAACCTATCCTAGGGCAGCATTCCTTTAAGTTCCGTAAAACAGTGGTTCCCAAATGCACGGGGGTGAAATGAGAAAAATAAGGACAATGTAGTGTTTTTTTTCCAAAAAAGCTATATTTATTCCATTTAAAGGACTCTCATTCTGAGACCGTCCTTTCATAAAAAAAAAAAAAAAAAAGTGATATAATACAGTGGTTTCTTTCAGATTACTTGGCAAAATACATTGGCAACCCTGTCCCCCAAATTTTTGGAAATGTTACTGGTCCATGGAATCCAAAAGTCTGGGAACCACTGCCATGTAAAAAAGACTAATTCTGTAGGTTATTAACAACTGTTAAGTGGAAAAAAAACTTCTGTGGTCAAATGTTTGGGAAATGATACTACAGAATTTCACACAGTCATGTGAATTAATGGCAGGTACACCCCATTCCCCAAACTTCGACCACTAAACACATTCAGACCCACCGTTAATTGGAAAGACATTGTAAAAATCTCAAGTGAACAACTCCTCTGACTTTGGAATTCCAACAATTTTCAAGTGAAGCTGACATGAGCATCAACAGAATCTGACTGACCTATGACTTAGCTGAAACTAAGGAAATGGTATCAGCAACATTATCGTCAATATTAAACTTTTAATATCAAATACATTTTTGTACATTGTTACTAATTTATATAATTATAAAACAATCAAAAGCTCCATAAAATCAGTAAGGTAAAAGCCCTTACTGAATATTATATAAACTTCAGATGTTACCAGGCTGATTTCAGGAAAAGTCATTGGTTTTTGATACAAATTATCTACAAAACAATGTGGTATAAATGGTATTTGAATTTTACAATAATGTGGCCACAATCTGCCCACCACTCTCCTAGGCGTCAGATCTTTAAAGTTCATTTCCATTCACACATTTCTGCTGCTGAAGCCTGGTTCTTCTTAAAGACTCCAGCTGCTGTGCTCTGAGCCATCGCTCTCTCGACAGTGTTGTCTGACCGGCACTGAGAGACAGAAACCTGGCGTGAAACACACAAACAGATTTAAGTCTAGACCTAGGACAGGATCTAGTTCTTTTTCTCCCCCCCGCCTTTTTTTTTTTTTTAAAAGAACCTCAGAATATGCTGGGTTAGGGGTCAAGACCATCTGGCAGCTACAGACAAGTCAAGAGCCAAGTTAGACTTCCACGAAGGGATCTTTGAAGGTTAGAGACAAAAGAACAAGCCTGTTCCACTGGTCACTGGCTAAACAACCCCCTTCACTAAACCCTTAAAGGAAAAACCTTTCCACTGGTACCAATCCCAGTTACTTCTAAAAATCGGAAGGTTCACACAGAGCTTACGAAAACAGCAGTTACGGACACGGACTACTCACCGAGCCACGATGAGCAGCTGGTGGAGGTCATCCGCAGTGATGCTCTGAGGGTCGTTCTTGCGCATTTCCACAAAGTCATCTTCAACCGCCTGTACCGAGAGAGTAAGTGGACTTGAACACTGCTGCTTATGAACAAACACTGTGTATTACGCAGGGAAAAAGTAACACGGTCCACTGGCCGATGTGCAAACGAGGTATCAGCCCTTCTGCTGAGGCTTCCTCAGAGAAAGGAGGGTGAAAGTCCCGCCCCCCCGCAGGCCAGTGCTGCCGACAGAGCCGGCGGGCGGCCAGGCAAACATCTGGGTCAGCCACGTGCAAGGCCAACAGGGCAGGGTGACGTCAGCAAAAGTGGCAGAGTGACGGAGGGCCTCAGAAAATTCTTTCCACCACTGAAGGGTACAAGAACACTAGCAAAAACTATCAAAATCTGCTTCTTCTAGAATCTGAAAATTAACCAGAACACAGGGAGCATTCGGTCAAGAACGAACACTGGGCTCTAAGGCATTTTCATTTCCCCACCCACCCAGCCCACGCCCTGAAAAGGGACAGCCCAGAGGCCGCAGGAGAGGGTTCCTTCAAAGCACCATTCCTGAGATCTGTCACACTCTGCCTGCGGCTCCCGGCGAGAATCCACGGGCAAGGCTGTCTTCATTCAGCCAGACTCCGCTTACCCAATGTGAACAGCCTCTTCTTCTCCCAGGGAATTTATCAAAATCAGAAGCAATTACTCATCAACCCGGCTGCTTCACGCACTGGATAGTAGTTGGGACAAACAGACAACCCACCAAAATCCTTAAAAGAAAAAACTAGGAAATGAAAAATTTTCCCCCAAAAGCCTCCAAAGGACGATCTCTATCTCCCCAGGAGTGCAGGTCACCCACGTGCAAAAGGCCGCGCGCACACTCAGATCGGAAGGGCCCTGAGCTAACCTGAGTGAGTGCTCTGTGCGGGCAGAAAGAGAAGAGCGGGTCACAGCTGTACGCTGTGTGCCAGAGTGTTGGAGGCCTGCCCCCGTGTGCACACAGGGCCCTTGGCTTTGACTGGGAGACCTGTTCCCAGGCATCTAAGGAAATTAAATCTCTATCTGATCACTGACTGACCGCTGAGCTCGCAGACACTCCAGGAGCCGCATACAAAGAATGCGCGTCACAGAGTTCATTGGAAGAGTCACTAAGCAACAACAAACCCTAGGGGGGAGGATCCGCCGCAGCAGAGCAGAGCTATCCTGGCTTCCACATAGCTGGTTTTCAAAACAAAAATGAGACACAGAAACAAGAGTATCTGGACCCCTTCACTGGAAACAAAGAAGTCAACAGAAAAGGTCCTCGAGGAAGCCCAAATATTGGACTTGCTAGACAAAGACTTTTTTTTTTTTGACAGACAGAGATCACAAGCAGGCAGAGAGGCAGGCAGAGGGAGAGGGGGAAGCAGGCTCCCCGCTGAGCAGAGAGCCCGGTGCGATGCGGGGCTTAATCCCAGGACCCTGAGATCATGACCTGAGCCGAAGGCAGATGCTTTAATCCACTGAGCCGCCCAGGGGCCCCGACTTTTCTTTTCTTTTTTTTTTTTTTAATTTTATCTACTTATTTGAGAGGGAGAGAGACTGCGCACAAGCACACACACGAGAGAGCACAAGCGGTGGAGAGGGAGAAGCAGGCTGCACGCTGAGTAGGGACCCTGGTGCGGGGCTCGATCCCAGGACCCTGGGATCATGACCTGAGCCAAAGGCAGATGCTGAACCCACTGAGCCAGCCAGTGCCCCTAGAGAAAGAGTTTAAATCAGCTCTTTAAATATATTCAAAGAATTAGAGAAAACCACATATAAAGAACTAAAAGCATGAGAATGATGTCACCACGAATAAAAAAGTATCGAGAGAGAGAGAGATTATTTTAAAAGCAAGCAAGAGGGGTGCCTGGCTGGCTCAGTGGGTTGAGCCTCTGCCTTCGGCTCAGGTCATGATCTCAGGGTCCTGGGATCGAGCCCTGCATCGGGCTCTCTGCTCAGCGGGGAGCCTGCTTCTTCCTCTCTCTCTGCCTGCTGCTCTGCCTACTTGTGATCTCTGTCGAATAAATAAATAAAATCTTTGGGGGGACAAAAGGCAAGTAGGGGGTGGCTGGCTCAGTCAAGTGTCTGACTCTTGGTTTCAGCTCAGGTCATGACCTTGGGTTGTGGGACGGGGCACAGCACTGGGCTCCACGCTCAGTGTGGAGTCTGCTTGGGATTGTTTCTTTCTCCTCCACTCACTCACTTGCTCTCTCTGAATAAAGCCTTTAAAAAAAAAAAAAGCAAACAAATTCTGAAGTTGAACAAGGTGACTGAGACTTAAAATTCACTGGGAACGAGGCTGAGCTTTGTGCGGCAGGCGGAGAAAGTCTGCAAATGTGCAGAAAGCTCGGCCGCACGTGGCCGGTCTGTGCAGGAGAAAGCGAAGGGAGAAGGAAAATGCACGGAGCCTCCGCGACTTGTGAGCCACCATCAAGCGCGCCCACACTCACAGCAGTGCTGGAAGGAGGAAGGAGAAAGAGGCAGAAAGGAATTTCAAGAAGGAACGGTCAAAGCCTCCCCAAACTCCTCACGCACTCCCGCACGACCCGCGTCCACCCGCACGCGCGAGCAGCCGGCCCGGCCCGCGGGGGGGCGCTGCGGCCCCCCAGACGGCGCCCGCGGACGGCCGGACGCCGGGGAGAGTGTCGACGGCACCGGCGCAGCGGAGCCCCTGAGCCCGAAGCAGCGGCTCCTCGGAACCCTCGGGGCCAGCGGGCGACAGGAGGACACACGGACAAAGCCTGGAGGAACACGTCTTCACACCGAGAACTCTACGTCCAGGAGAAGCGGTCCTCAAACACGGAGAAACCGGGACCGTCCCAGACAAGCAGCACCTGGACGGAACCGGTGGCGGCGGATCCGGCCTGCGGGAACCACGCGGCGCCTCCGGGCCCGAACGAGAGGACGCCGCGCGGCGCCGCGAGCCCACGCAGGTGACTGTCAGGGGGATGACACGGCAAGGGTACAGAGCAGTACCGGGTCTTTCCCGCGCCGACCGAGGGACAACGGCAGCCAGCGAGGCCTCTGAACGCGGCGATGGAGCCGGACAGACGGACGACGCACAGAGACCACGCCGCCGGCCCGGCCGGCCGGGAGCCGCGGGAGCCCGAGCCGAGCGGACCGTCTAGGGCAGCACGGGCCGCGGTTCCGTCAGCGCGCGCGCACCTTGGTTATCTCATCGGAGATGCTGTAGTCCAGGAACCTCAGCAGCGTCAGGTAGATGCGGAACTTGTTGAGCAGGGAGGGCAGCACGGCCGACAGGAGGCTGTCCGTGTACTCCTCCATGTTGGGCGGGACGAGCTGCGGCTGCAGGTGGATCTGGCAGTCCGCCTGGGGAGACAAGCGCCGCACGGGCTCGCCAGGACGCGGCTCGGTCCGCACCAGCCCGCGAAGGCATCGGGCACGACTGTCCCTCACGGCGGGGGTGGGGGGCACTTTTTAACACGAACCCACAAGCGCCGGGACGCGGGACGCCCTCGGCGCTCACGGCTAGCGTGAGCCCTTCTTTGGTTACTGACCCCTCCTCGACAGGCCGAGCGGACACAGAAAGGCAGCCAGCCTCTGAAAAGCAGCTACTTAAAACCCTTTCAAGGTTTCCTTAATCTTGGAATCTGTGCTCTGTGTCTCACTGGATCTGCCTCTCTAGAAACCACATAAAGCAAACCACACTTTCCCACAGAAAACTTACACACGGGCCACTTCATTCTCGTTCACAAGCAATTTCTCATAAATCACAGGGACCACGAGTTCACACAGACTGTACACCTTTGGAAACAACTGGGCGTACTTCTCAACATGAAAAAACTCAATTAAAAGCTCTCTTCATCAGTCACTCTGATGATTTACCAGAGCATTTCACCATAAAGCACAAAAATAATTACCATGTCATCGGGAACATTTTAAAAGGAACTCTAAAGTATTTCTCACATTAGATTGACAGAAAACAATGGGACCGAGACAGTAAGAACAAAGGTCTAGATGTGAATCAGGCAATTTATAGACAGCCTCTACTTTCTATGCCTGGATGTGGGAGTTGCTGCGCCCAACAGCCTTCCTCTGCTTGTCTTGTGATTTGCCATATCTGGTTCCTCACAGATGGGTTTTCATCCTCCAGGCAGGAACAAAATAATCAATTCTCTTACTAACAATCAGCAGCCCCGATTCTGAAACAAGTTTAACCTCTCAATAACAAGTCGTGCCAAGAAACAAAACAAAAATACAGGTATCTTTCCAAGGTAACCTCCCTCCATCTTACAATACCTCACCGTACCGGAAGGAGTGACCGCCCCTCCGAAGTAATAAACACATTAATATTGCAGGGGAATTCCATCTGGTGGTAACTGAAGTCATAATCCACCTTTTGCCACGTTATCAGGTTGCTCAGGGCAGTCACATTATGAACACCTAGGGAAAAAAAATTTTTTTTTTGCTTACTTGATTTTAATCACCTAAACAAATGCTGTAAGACATGACATTTTTGCTGCTTTAAAGAAAAAAAAGAAAAGTATCTCACGCACTGTTCAACTTCCTAAGCTAAATGTTCACTAAGTAATAGGCTTCACAGACAATACTGGTCACCCCACATAAATGTATTTTGGGGCCAAGACCCCCCCAAATCTAATCTAGCATCTTGTATGCAACTGGGCATAAGACAGGTTCCCAGTAAGCACAATCACTTTCTGTATGGTGTGTTCACAGGTCTAGAACAATATGGTAGAACTAAAATGATTTTTATGCAAAGAAGTAAGGTTACTGAATTTTACTGATTTTTTATACTCACCTGTGTCTTAAGGATACCCGTCCACGCTATTTTTTTTCTTCTACCTTTCCCTTTTGAACTTACCGCCAGCAAGGTGTCTTCTCAAACATCATTTGAGGACAAATAAAGCAACCAGTTTCCTTGCCAATTTATAACAAGTTCCATAACTGAGGTTAGTTCAATCCTTCCAACCTTTTTCCAGAGTCTTTGATAAAAAAAATTTTAAACTTCACACTCACAGTAAAAAATGTTTTATTAGATCTTCTCTACACTTTTCTTTTAAGCTAACATATGACTGAAGGCAAGATCTTCTCAGCCTTTCAAGAGCAACTTGCAACGTCCTTGCCCCGTCACTGTACCATGTTGACAGCAGGACAAAACACAGCTGATGCACACAGTCTGTGAGCGGACAGTTCCCCCATTAGACAAATTCACATGGCAAGCCTTGATCTTAAGTACTGTGAAATATGAGTGTCTCTCGATCAGTGATTCTTCTACAAGTCATCACCAGATCTGGCTTTCATGGGAGGTTAGACATGAAGGGAGACACCCGTGTCTGTACCTGGTGTATCCAGCTGCCCTTGCTCGAGGAGAGTTTCGTCGATCACGAGGGAAGTGTTGCTCGGGAGCTGCAGGAGCCCGCTGACCAGGCGGTTGGCTGTATAGTCTTTGTGGGGGATGAATTTCAAATGGTTCATGTTCTCTATAGTCATTTGCAGACGAAAAGACTGCAAAGAGAAATTTTTTTAATGAGCGAGGAATAAAATTTCCCTGTTTTAAGAAAATACATATTTGGGGTTAAATACTTTCCATTTGTGTATAAGGAAAAATCTTAATTTCTAAGGATGTAGTTTCGTAGCTTCTTGAGCTCTTAAAGCAAAAATCTTACATATACACCTTAAATAATAAATCTACACCTTAAATAAGAATTTCACTATTCTATGTGCCGTTTTATTCTCAACTGTTTTGTGCAGTATTCTTAATTTCTAATTTACCAGCAAACCAGAAACAAACGATAGGTAATTCAGATGCATCTGCCAAATATTCAGAAGCTTGAATTCTTTTATCTACCACAACCCCAGGCTAGCAAAACAGAAAATATTTATTTATTGAAGACAGGGAGAGAAAAGCTTAATTTTCTTCAGTGCTCCTGGAGTTAAAATCATTAAAATCACAGTCATTCCTCAGACTCCCGCTGTCGCAAGGAGAGCTGAGGAGCAGAGCGCGCTGCGCGGGGCCCGGGCGCTGCGGGTCCTAGAACGCACTGTAGGCCGCCTCCTCATCCGACTCCAGCCCAGGATCTGTCAGACGCCTCTGCACCCCCTCCGGCTCTCCGAGCCCACCACCCAAGGCCCTCTGCACCCTGCTTCACACTCCACTCTCCCCCCATCCCTCCAGCCTAAATAGAAGTTTGTGTGGTAAGGGTGGGGACTGGAATTGGGAAGAAGAAGGGTGCCGAGGAAGAGAGAAACTTTCAGAATTTACGGGATTACTGTACTATGGCTCGGTGATGCAAAGAAAATGGGGCAGAGGGCTCGGACCATTTTATAGATAGAAGCCAACAAGCCCTAAAGAAGCCCAGTCTGTCAAAACACAAGGGGCACACGGCAGGGTCTAGCTCCACGTCAGCAGAAGCAGGTCGCGCATACGGAACCCACCGTGAAAACGAAACACGATATGAGCGAGCCAAGTGTTCAGAAAGAGTTCGGCACCAGACAAACACACAAGAGGAATGGAAGGGAGTGGGATATGGTAACAATGAAAGAGTGAAACCCACAAACCCACTACGAAGCGATGCAAAATAAAAAGATCAAAAAGGAAATAACTTTTATATTTAGAAACGTAACTCGTGCCCGTCTGTGCACTAGGCTGCTGCTCGGACTTTACTTCCTTCCCTTCTCCCCAGAACTCACTCCACACCAGCCGCACCGGCCTGTCTGCGCGCCTCCACGCGGCAGAGCGCACAGCTGCCTCAGAGCCTCCGGGCCTGTCCTCTCCTCTCTCCCAGCACCGACATTCCCCCCAACAGAGCCATGCGGCTTTGCTCCCACACTGCAAGTCTCTCCCCGAATTCCTGGAAGGCGAGGCCTTCCCCGACCACACTGCACACGTGAGCTACTCTCCCCCAGCCCCGTGCTCCCCAGTCCTCTTCTCCTGGGCCTTTATTCTTCCTGTGGCACTTCAATGACAGATTCTGTATTTACTTATTATCTGTTGGTCTTCTACCACGATAATCTAAAATCTATTTCAGCAATTCCCAAAATGTGGTCCAGGGAACTCCCAAGGAGTTGCTGACACAATTTTTATAGAGTCCACAAGGTCAAAATCATGCATGGATAAAAGACCCATTCGATATGCAAGACAGACCAATGAATTTACTGCAACAGAGTATAAAAAATTCACTGAGGACATTAGAGATTTCACACTTGCAACTATCCTTCAAGAAAACGTTATGTAGGGGGACGCCTGGGTGGCTAGGTTGGTTACGTGTCTGGCTTCGGCTCGGGTCATGATCCCAGTGTTCTGGGATTGAGTCCCGCATCGGGCTCCCTGCTCAGCAGAGCGCCTGCTTCTCCTTCTCCCTTTGCACCCCCTGTGCTTGTATGCTCTCTGACAAATAAATAAAATCTTTCAATTAAAAAAAAAAGAAAAAAGAAAATGTCATGTGGGCAGTTTTAGTCTAGTATCCAAGAAATCCACAGCTATCCAAAAAGGCCAGCTTTCCGTCATATACTTTAATCAAAACATCCTATTATAAGAGACTGAATGCAGAAAGGGTTCTTCAATTCAGCAGTCTTCTATTAATCCAGATATTAAAGAGATTGGTAAAAATTTTAAACCATGTCACTTTTATCACTAATGTTTTTTGAATTGGGAAAACACTATTGTTACAAAAATATTTTATGTTCATACATAATTGATATATTGATATATTTTCATGAATATTTTAGTCTATTTTTAGTTTTAATTTCTACTATGGCAAACTGGTAATAAAAACAACCCAGATAAACTACACCTCTTTGAGTCCTCCATAATTTTTTCAGAGTGTCAAGGGAAGCAAGGAGTGTGAGAAATGCTAGTCTGTTTGGTCCACTGCTGTTTACGGGCCTGGAAGAGTGCTAGCACTTACCCTCCAACGGCACGGTCACATGAATGATCTATTTTAACCTCTTAAATCTCCAAAATAAGAAGTGATCCGCATTGTCAGTCACATGACGAGTCAAAAGCAACTTCTTCATTCCCAGTGTCTCACCACCACACAAACCCTGCATTCCACACACGCTGGCAAACAAAGACTTTCTAAACAGGAATTAAAACTGGGGCCATGGAGATAAAGATCTTTATTACCTCAGCTAAATGAATTATGCTCTTGTAATTCAGGCTTATTTAAAGACTTAAGATTTTAATGCACACAAAGGATAGATACCAAGTTGCACAAACTGGGATCAACCAACAGCATAATCTTAAGGGATTTACTTGCAATCGTGCCGTAAGAGTCACAGAAATTTGTGCTAAGGCAATAAAAGAAAAGCGAAGTGTTTAGGGGTGAGTATGTAAATTGTGGAACCTGACAGGCTTTGTTTCCCCTTAATAAGATCTATTACAATTTCAAATTGAAATACTTGGGTTGAATGAAAGACAATTAGATGAGTTTTTAAAGTGCGCTCAGGTTTTCCTTTTGTTTTAATTTATTTGAGAGAGAGACCAGAGCGAGCAAGAGAGAACATGAGTGGAGGGGGGAGGGGCAGAGGCAGAGGGAGAAGCAGGCTCCTGAGTAAGGAGCCCAACGTGGGGCTCAATTCCAGGACCATCGGATCATGACCTGAGCCAAAGGCAGATGCTTAACTGACTGAACCACCCAGGCGCCCCAGTGTGTTCAGATCTCTAATAATTATTATTTATATAATAATTAATATTTATATTGATCTTACTGCTGGAACAAGATGTTGAATAATCCGGTACAAGTGTTCTGTGAAGGTACTATTCCTTGGGCAACCACTCAAGTTAACTGTGAATTTTCCCAGGGGAAGAACATCTCTTCTTGTATACCTAGGAAAAAAAAAAAAAAAAGATACCAACCAGTAAGATATTCAAGTGGATTCCCAATTTCCAACGAAAAGCAACCAAAGATTAGCAAAATATTGTCATTAAAAATAAAGCAAATTACTCTGACCAGCTCATTTATCAGAATAATAACAATAACAGCCAGCGTTTGCGCATGAGCATTGTGCATGCGCTAGGACTGTTCGGAGTGCTTAACTGTCTCGTGTAATTCCCAGGCTCTCTGAGGCAAGTCACCTTCGCTGTACGGGTGAGAAATCTGAGACAGAAATCTGAAGTAACATGCCCGAGTTCACGCAGCAGGATGTGGGAGAGCTGGATTTGAACCTGCAGGGTTTGGCTCCAAAGCCTGTGCACTCAGCCATTATGTGCTGCGGTCTGAAATCCTCGCCGAGGGAGGATGTGGAGAACAAAGGCACTGACTGCAGGGTCATTTGGAACTGAGGGAAGTTAGGAAACCAGCATTTACGGAACTAGAACAATGGTCTACAATGAAATACTGTACAGCCATTAAAAAGTTCATGAAGAATTACAAAGGAAGAATGTTTAACACATAGTAAATGATAAAAACAAGATCGGCGTTTAGAGTACCACGGAGACCTGTGCAGGGATGTACACATATGTAAACAAAAAGATGAAACAAACATGAGCCAAATGTGTTAACAGAGATCATCTCTCAGTGGGTGAGATGACAGTTTCCAGTTTCTTTATGCTCCTGGAACTTGTTGAAAACACTCATTACTTCGGAAATCAGGAAACAGAGACCTGTGGAGGGGTGGAAAGGAGGTGAGCACCTTCAGCTACAAATTACATGTGCGCCCCGTGGGCCTTGCAGAGCTGTGGGATGTATAAACCAAGAATTCAGAATGCAGAAAGAATAAAACAGCTCATTTTACTTATCAGCCAGGTTCTTTGTCTGACTGTGGCTCTTATATTTAAGGGAGACATAAACAAAAGGTTACATGTGAAACAAAAAAGGTGGACAAAGAATGTGTGATTTCATGTAACACTTGTCACACTGAATAAAAACCACCTGATGATGCAGCTAATGAACTGTAACACCAATGGCCTGAGCAACCTTCCTGCTCTTCTGCGCCATCAGCACCACCCCCCACCGCAGGCCGCCGGGAGCTTGGCACTTACACCGTAGAGATGAGATGCAGGATCAGGTACTCGGCGGCCAAGCTGTCTCCCAGAAGCGCATGCGTGAGGAACCCAAGCAGCTCTGCTCGGACGGGAGACAATTCAGACATGAAACCTGAAACGACTGGAGAAGGGAGGGAGACCACACTCAGAACACACACACCAGCTCCTCCTGAGTGTCTCAGGCTAAGAAGGAAAAAAAAACAAACCCAAGTGGAACAAAGCACTAAAGTCACTAGACAACTAGTGTAGACTTAAATACTGGTCATTAAGTGATGCCAATCTTTGAGATAAGACAGCTTGTAAACTCTTTTTTGCCTCATCTTAACAAAGAGAATTAACGGGAAGGAAAACGGGCCAGAGTCACGACGACTACTAGAGAGACTGAGGCTGAGCACGAGGATCTGGCTGCCTCGGCCCCACCGTGAGCAGAGCACGTGTCGCAGGCGGCTCCCGCCCAGGGGCCCACGGTCTCTGGCTCCCAAGGCATTAGCACTTACACTTACAGGTTTTGCTCTCCTCCTTGTTAAGGCAAGCAGGCAGTAAAGGATTGATGTGCTGCAACTTCTGGGCTAAAACCACATGAATTCTTGGCACTAATGAAGCAGGAGGGCTGTGCACTCTTTGCTCCTCGGCCGTGTCCGTGCATTCCATCGGATCCAGGAGTGAAGAGGCATCCCTGCGGAGAGAGGAGAAAGTCACAAGTCACAGCCACATCTCTGAACATGAGAATTCAAGCCAAAAACAGTTCCACCTGTACGTCTCCCTAGAGAACGGAAAATGGCTCCTCATTCTCAATGGTCAGATCACACAGTTCTCAGGCTAGTTAGGTCACACAAGGATATATATGTGTTTTTCAAGAAAAAGAACACTTTCACTGAGTATGCTGTAGCTGCGGTTAATGGGATAGAGCACATCACTGGTGAAGAGTGTCTGTGTTTTGAAATCACTTCATTGGCAGAGACATGAAACGCTTCACAGCCTGTCTCAAAAACCAGGGTCTTTTTCTCATAAGCCATTAGGCATCTATTACTCAGTGTGGAAGATCCATTCATCTCTTATCTTGCTAATTGTTTTTCCTAACTTTTATTCCTCCACAACCCCTCCCTTGAATAGTGAGTAGTCAAGCAGTGAAATAAAAAAGTGTTGAGTTTTTCAGATTTGCTAAATAAATTAGCAGACAATGGATTTACTGTGATACAACTGAAACAAATCACTAAGATGTGTTTAGAACTTCAGACTTCACAGGTTGCTCTACAGAGTTACCCATTCACATGGCCGCCTGCCTCACACACAAGGACGAAAAGAACCGTACGTGGTCTGGACCACGTGCCAGGCAGGGTCCTTCTCTATGCACACACCAGTTCATTAACGCCTCACCTACACTGGTCTCCAGTGGGAAGGTGAGGCCCTGCAGAAGTCACGTGGCCGGTAAATGGCCACACCAGGTCGGCACCCCAAGCCATCTGGCTCTCTCTGGGCACTAAGCGGCTTCAACCAATGAAGTGACTGAAGCAGGAAGATCATCATCACCAGAAACAGCCAAGGCAAGCAATTTGCAATACTATTATTAAGGAATGCTATTTAAAGTTGTTTAAATATGTCTGTGTCCCCCCCTTTATTGTAATAGTGAAAAGTAAGTTCTTCTTATAGGGAAACCAAGATGAATGTCCAATACCCAACAAGAAAACTATTACGTTGCAGGGGGGAGGTTAGGACTCCATTCCTTGGCAAACTCAAGACAAAACAAGAAGAATGAGGAAGATCTGGATTTTCAGGATATATTGTTAGCTGTGAAGAGAAAGTGTAAAGGAATACATATAACATGCTATCTTTTATATAATAAAGGGGAATAAAATATACACATGTCTACTTATTTTTGCAAAAAATACAGTAAAGATAAAGGCAGAAACAGGTTGGTTCTCTATGGAGCTTGAGTGGGAACAGGGCAGGGGAGATGGCACCCCTATATTCTTTGTATATAGCTCTGATTTGGGTAACAATGTCAATGTTTTCTATACTTAAAAAATCAAAACAAATGAGAAAATGTTAACAGATTTTAAAGTTTAAAAATTAAACTCTTCAAAACATGTACCACCACTTTTCATACAAACTTAGTGTATGCTCTAATAAAAACTCATGAATATGTAAAAAAAAAAATCAAAGCAGTAAGGACAGAAGAAACACTCTGAAGAGAAATGCAATGGAAACCAACCGAACCTAACCACATAAAATGAATAATGAGCAAAAGGACCAAATGGGAAGAAAACTCACCCCGGTAATTTTAGACACAGCACTCTAACTGTACGCCTCATTCTAAAATAAAAAGAAATGGAAACCAGTCTTGGATGAGAGTTACAAGGTTTGTTTTTTGCAGCGGTGTGGACTGCTGATTCTGAAATTACCTCCTCTGCACTGTGGAAATACGTTGAGAACAATGAGAGTCAAGCTTCTTTCTATTAGAAGGGGGGCTACAAATAGGGGAAGGGAGAAGGGAGAACATCTGAGTGCAGAACTGGAACTGGAAACACTGTGAATGTTCTGTTCAGTTCTGATAGACTTGAAAATACATGAAGATGCACGTGTACGGGCATATAAATGTGCATTTATTTGTACGCGCACAGTGTATGCGTCTATGTATTTCCTAGCCCCGCCCATTAAAAGGGCAGAGAAGCAATACCAATCCTGATACCAGTGAGCACACAAGCACTCAGATCTTGACTTTTAAATAAAACTCCTCACTAAAAGAAACTGATGCTCCTTAGCAAAATGGCTGGTACTGCAGCCGGAGTAGAGGAAGGACAGATGAGGTTGAAACAGCGTGTGTGCCAGGAAAGACATTTTCAAAAATGAGGTCACGTCAGCAAAGACGCAGAGCCTGCTTACAACGACTCTCACTAGCCAAATGAGAAAACCTGAATCTCGAGCACCAGACTAACAGCCACACTGAAATAAACAAATTACTTAAGTAAACAAATGAGAAGGAAAATCTCTCTTCTAACAGAATGCTAATAAACAAGTGCAGAAGGAGTGACTGAGATGGAAAATCACCATCTAGTAATAACCGATCAAGAATCATCAACGGGGGCGCCTGGGTGGCTCAGTGGTTAAAGCCTCTGCCTTCGGCTCAGGTCATGATCTCAGGGTCCTGGGATCGAGTCCCGCATCGGGCTCTCTGCTCGGCAGGGAGCCTGCTTCCTCCTCTCTTTCTCTGCCTGCCTCTCTGCCCACTTGTGATCTCTCTGTCAAATAAATAAAAAAAAAAATCTTAAAAAAAAAAAAAAAATCATCAACGGACAGGGGCGCCCGAGTGGCACAGTCGGTTGAGCGTCTGACTCTTGGTTTCAGCTCAGGTTGTCATCCCAGGGTCGTGGGACTGACCCCTGCACTGGGCTCCATGCTCAGCGCGGAATCTGGTTGAGATTCTCTCCCCCTCTCCCTCTGCCCCTTCCGCTCATGCTCTAACTAAAAATAAAATAGAATCATCAATGGATATTAAAGTAAGTGGATGAGAGACACATGGGTGGCTCAGTCAGTTAAGCGTCTGCCTCTGACTCAGGTCATGATCCCAGGGTCCTGGGATTAAGCCCAACATGGGGCTCCTTGCTCAGCAGGAAGCCTGCTCCTCCCTCTTCCTTTGCCTGCCACTTCCCATGCTTGTGTACATGCCCGTGCACACTCTCTCTGACAAATAAAATTTTACATAAATAAGTGGACAAAAGTTAAATAAGAAACTGGATATTAATGTAATCTCCAAGCACCTCCTTCCAAATTACTTATTACAAAGTGAAAAACAGTAACTTTATAGGACAGAAACCTGGCAGATGCCACCTTAACCAAACGATCAAAATTACCACCACCAATAGTGCAGCACACTGACATCAGGTGCCTCCTCATATGACAGCCTGATTCTAAGCATGAGGAAACACCACATAAACCCAAACAGATATTCTACAAAATGACTGGCTACACTCTTCAAAGGTGTCAAGGCTCTCTGCCACGTGAGGACAAGGAAAGACAGCCACCTGCAACCAGGAAAGGGGCCTCACTAGACACTGGATCTGTCAGCACCTTACTCTTGGACTTCCCAGCCTCCAGAACAGTGAGAAATGAATTTTGGCGAAGTTTAAAAAAAATAAAAAAAAAAAGGTGTCAAGTTCAGGAAAGACAGAAGTCAAGGACTGTTCCAGATTAATGGAACATGTGACCCTACGGATCCTGACTCACAGAAAAGAAGGAAAAATTAAAAAAAGAAAAAAAAAAACAAAACAAAACACCAGAAGAAACAAGATTGAGATAATTGGTGAAATTAAGTATGGAGTGTGGATTAGTGTTTCTAATTTTCTAAAAGTTTCTAATTTTGATGGCTGTACTCTGACTGTATAGGAGAAAGTCCTTGTTCTTAGGAAATATGGACTCAAGTATTTAGGGGATAATGTATGCAACTTACTCTCAGGTGTTTCAGAGAAACATGTACATACACAAAAACGTGCACATGTGAGAGCACAAATGAATGACAGAGCAAATGGGGCACTAAGGGTTAACAACTGGTAAATCTGGGTAAAGGGGAGAAAGCTCTTCGTAACATTATCTTCCAGCTCTTCTGTAAGTTTGAAATTTTATCAAAATAAAGTTACCCAAAAAAGAACAAACAGACTCACCTTTCATCATTATTCAGTATACTTAGCACAGGATCCACAGATAGGACACCATATAACTCAAGAACATCATTGACTTTGAAACAATCCCAGTCTTCATAGACCTGACAGGAGATCGTAAGAAACCACGTTGTTAGGACTAAATAACACCAAAAAAATCATAAAATATTAGTTTTAAGGCTAAAGAAATAATATTTTAGATTTTTAGGTCAGGAAATGGAATTTAAAGCCACTCTTTTGTTTCATAAATTGAAACCAAGAGAGATAAAATACTTGCCTAAAGTCATTCTCCTAGTTAGCAATTAACACTAAAACAGAGGACTCCTGACCCCCAGACCAGGGTCTGTTGTCAATACACCACACTACTTCGAAGAGGCTTTCCCAATGGATGACTAACATTACAAATGTGCATTATTGGGTGCTTGGGTGGCTCAGTCAGTTAAGCGTCTGCCTTCGGCTCAGGTCATGATCCTGGGACAGAACCCCACAATGGGTTCCCTCCTCAGCAGAGAGTCTGCTTCTCCCTTCCCCTTTGCCCCTCCCTCCACTTGTGCTCTCTCTCACTCTCAGATAAATGAAAAATAAAATCTTAAAAAAAAAAAAAACAAAAAAACCCTGCATTATCTCAAAATCTATTCAGAACACCAAGAGAAGGGGGGCGGGAAACAACTGCAGGATTACTAACTTTGGACTTATTCACCAACTATGCCCCATTAGGAGGGTTAACACAAAACTCAGAAAGGCCATGAGGGTTTTCAAAACTTTCAAAGTTGTGTCTTTGATGGACGCTAATAACTGTCAAAGCCTCCTCTTGGTGAGGCTGAACCGAAACATGGCAGTAAAGCCGTCCTCACTCTGGTCCCTATGGTACAGAACTGAAGTGCCACTTAAGTTTAAAACCACAAGATAAAAGAATGGAAATTCTCAATGATCATTTCTGAAACTTACATTGCTTGCTTCACCTATCAGGATCAAAAAACCAGGGTAAGCAAAATAGAACAAACTGGCAACAGATTTTTTGCCTCTATTTTATTTTAAATACAAATGAGAAAAAGATTTTGATGAGAAGAATGTTGAAAAAGTTAGATATTGTCGGAAGCTGGAAATGACATAGGAATTCACATGAATTAAAAAAACTGTTCTACTTCTGTGTTCAAAATATTTTACAATTCTTTTTTTAAGTGAGCTCTACACTCAACATGGGCCTCAAACTCAAAACCCCAAGACTAAGAGTCGCAGGCTCCACCAACTGAGGCAGCCACGTGCCCCATATTCTTCAACTGAATTTAAGAATGCCGTGGTAGACAGAACATGGCCTCCCAAAGAGGTCCACATCCTACTCCCTGCAATCTGTGAATAGGTTACCTTATAAGCAAAAGGGGGTATGAATAAATTCAAGACCCTGAGATGAAGAGATTATCCTGGATGATCTGGTTGGGCCCAATCGAATCACAAAGGTCCTTTCCAGGAAGAGGTGACTATGAAAACACTCTGGCTTTGAAGATGGAAGAAGGGGCCCCAAGCCAAGGAATGTGAGCACTTCTAGAAGCTGGAAAAGGCAAGAAAACAGATTTTCCCCCAGATCATTTAGAAAGGAATGCAGCCCAAAGGACACCTTGATTTTATCTTCAGTGAGATCAATGTTGGACTTCTGACCTAAAGCCTGTAAAATGATAAAATTTTTGTTGTTTTAAAAGCCACTGACGTGGTGAATATTCGCTCCAGCAGCCACAGAAAACAAACACAAATGCTAAGAGTACTCCATGTTAACTTTGAGACACATTCCACATCTATATCAAGGTCAGGTCTATAAAAGGTTTAGTACCTTCACAAGGCATGCAGGGCCCTTCTCCCCTGGCAGTGGAAAATTCAGGTCAAAAGGAGAAGAGAGGTTCAAGAAGTTCAGCTGTTGGCCAGTAGAAGCTTCAGTTTCTAAACGTTTTGGCTCTCCACACCACTGAAGACCACCAACACTCCCTAAATTCAAAGAACAGCACTGCACTTAGTCATTTTTGAGGCTTCCTGGAGAGAAAGAACATTTCTAAAGAGCCTTTCAAGTCTGATATAAATGATGCTTCTGAACAAAAAAAAACTTCAAGTTGTTACAGTTCTTAAGGAAGATATGGAAAAAAAAAAAAAAAGGAAGTAAGATATGCTAACAAAACCCTTTGTCTGACCTAAAAGAGAACAAAGATTATGAAGATCTAAAAAATTTAATCATTTCTCCCACACAACAAAATGGCAAAAAACTCCCCTCTTCAAATCTCAAGTATATTTTAAAAGTTACTATTTACAGTTACTTTGACAACTTTAATCTAAAGATGTCTACTGACAACAAACCCGCCTTGGTAGAATATACTTTTTTCTACTTATTACTCAGAATAAAACCATATAGCAATACATTCATTTACCAAATATTTGTAACATCCACTGTGTGCTAGGAATCAGACTAGTTGTTGGGGACACAAGGATGATTTAAAAAATGCCCTCTATCCCTGAAGTGGTCACAGTTTAGGGCCTATAACTAATTAAAATCAACATATAGCCTGCCACACCATAAAATATTGCTCAGCAATAAGAAGGAATAGACTACTGATACACAGATCAATCTGGATGGATCTTAAGTTTTGCTGACTGAAAAAAGCCAATCCACAAAGTGTACATACTGTACGATTCCATTTACGTAACTTACCATTGTTTTTTAAGGTTAAGCTAGAACGGGATCTTTTATTTTTTTTCTTAACTGAAGTATTCCCGACTATGCAACACTCTTGCAATAAAATAACATTAGTACAGAGATGAAGAATGGGTTCGTGTTTGCTAGGGGTTAAGGACTTTTGGGGAGGGGAGAGGCAGGAGAGCAGTGGGCAGGACTCTACAAGGACAACTTTGAAAGATGTGGGCAATGAACCATTCTGGATCCTGACTGTGGTAGTGGTCCCATGAGTCTACATGTGACGACACTGCCCAGAACAAAATACACGCACACAAATAACTGTGTGTAGGAAATATAAATCTAAGGTCACGGGGCGGTAGCAATGTCCATTTCCTGGTTACGATATTCTACTAGAATTATACAAGATGTTACCATCAGGGGAAACTTATTTCTTACAGCTACATGTGATCTACGCTTATCTCAAAAATATTTTTTAAATATATATAGCTTGAAAGATTACTGAGAAACCAACAAACAAGTTACATTGTAAATAAATGATGCGCCCAAATGTACAAAAAGCCTACAGTAGGACATCCAAATGAAAGCAAAAAGGAGGAGAGATCATCAGTTGCTTAGATAACAGAATTACCATATATCCTGGATTCTAATGTTACTTATTGTTATGATACACCATTAATTTTAATAAGCATTTGGAGGGGTGGAGAAAAAGACCACCACATTTGCACAGATTACTGTAAAACATTCCGATGTTAAAAACGTTAAAGTATGCCTTAGCTCTAAGGAAATATAAAGTAGGAAAACATATGGCTAAGTGAAATTCATTAGTAATTCTCTGTTTACCACTCTCAGCCCAATCTTGCAGATGCCCCTGACCAGACTGCTTTGTCAACTCCCCACCCTTCAACTCGCCCGGAGGAGGTGCTACAGAGAAATGACCGGCCACAAGAGGAGGAATAACGACAAACTTCTCCACCTGCCGCAATAAAGAAATTCACTATTCTTAAACACTGTGATTGGTAAAATCAAGAATGAAATATGCCAATTCTGAAACTATCTCATGCTCTTAGGACATCCCAAACTTTGGTCCCCGTGTTAATCAGAATTTACTGGGTTTTCAGCATGTTTCAAGATAAACCACTACAAATGTGTGTACATAGAATAGAACTGTGACTATTTTAAGGGCTCTCTGATCTCAAGTTGAGTACGAAGTTACCTAGTGCCCCACAATTTCATGGTTTTCCTCCGATGTTTTCAATCTTACTAAATTAAAGTACCACTATCTTGGGGCACCTGGGTGGCTCAGTCCGTTAAGCATCTCCCTTTGGCCCGGGTCATAATCCCAGGGTTAGGCTCCCTGCCTTGCAGGGAGTCTGCTTTTCCCTCTCTCTCTGTCCCTCCCCATGCTTGTGTGCACACATGCACACACTCTCTGTCCTGCTCATGAATAAATAAAATCTCTTAAAAAAATAAAAATAAAAAATAAAGTTCTACTATCTCCAAAGGAAAATAAAAAAGGATGTTTTCAGATATTTAAAAAAAAAAAACATTTTCAGGATAAACTACTAGACTTCCATATTACTTAGGAGCTGAAATAAAAATATAAAGAATGAGAAAAAGACCTTTGTCCATTAACCACCTGAGACTCTTAAAGACTAACAGAAAAGCAGACACTTCTCACTAAGTGATGCCTAACTGCTCAGTTATGAAGCACGGTTTGCCCAGAGTATTGCAAAAACTCTCAAGACTGTTTATAACAGTGATGAACTTGAATGCAAGGTTGTCAAACCGCTGTCATTTCCTAAATCTAGAGCTGTATCACACAACAATCAATTCTGGAAACGGACCTGAGGGAGAAATGAGCAGAAAGCCTGTTGGCACACACTACCTGCTTGCCTGGCCCCTGCATGTTGGTCTTTCTGTTTATTGGGCTGTAGGTCCATATCTTCATCGTCTTCGTAACTCCTCTTGTGACGACTGGGAGTGTAGGACGTTGACGGACTGACTCGAGCTTGGTTTGCATTAACATAGGCGTTAAATGAAAAGTTAAGGAAAATCTTCCAGGCACTGAGGAATATCCTAAGGTATGCTAATTCTAGGGCTAATAAAAGATTATTGGTTTGGCAATTTGGCTAAAATTAAAACATCCTTTTAAAAGACTGGACTTCCAGTTTTGATCATGAGAGTAGCAGCTTAACCTCATGCCCCCTACCTGTGCTATAAGGAAACTATACAACTGGATAAAAGATATGAGCAACTGTTTTCAGTAACTGAACATCGTAAGGGAACATAAGGTTATAGTTCTTCAATAAGGAAACACACCAGTAAACTCCACACTCTTCCCAGCTTTCTCTTGGGAACATTTCCCAAACCGCAACAAAGAAGCAAGGACCCTGCCCTTGCAGGACAGAGTAACAGAGCACACAGTTCCGGGCTCCTGAGCAACTGGAAGCTGCAGAAAGTAACAGAGGCAAGAGTTGCAGATAAGACCAAGAAACCTGGGCAGGCACCATATGGGGTTTTAGCTGAACATAAAACCATGGATGTACAAGTCAGGATTCCTTGAGGGCTAGCAGGGAACAGCTGCTAGTTGCCTGGGAGCTAAATGGAGATTCGGGACTTCTACAATACTAGAACTGGACCCTGATGGACAACCTGGGCACTGAGGTGTGACCAGAAATAGCACATTTCATGAGTAAGGACTGTGTCCTACAGACCAAGGGCTATTCCATGCCCACCTTAACAAATCGCAAAACCAAGCCATGACAAGGTCAAAGTGAGCCACTTACATCACCTGCCTGTCAGAATAAAACGCAACATTCTTGGAAGGAAGACAAAACCGAACTCTCTACAATGTTGTACATCAGCATACAGTAACACATTATTACTTATATTTGAAGAGGCAAGAAAATATGACCTACAATCAGGATTAAAAATAACCAATAAAAACAAACCCAAAGATGACTCAGATATTGGAATTAGCCGACAAGGACACTAAAAAGGCAATCTAAAATTCACTATTTTTTCATATATATGTATTGAGCTATGTTCCCTTTAAACCTTATTATGTTGAGATATGTTCCCTCTAAACCTTAAAATTCATAATTTTAAAAGAAAATACAATCACTTCTCGGCCTTTTGGCTATGATCAAGCGTAGTACCTGTTCTTATCAGTTTAAAAGAAAATATAGACAAGATCCATCTAAGTGGCTCAGTTGGTAATGTGTCTGCCTTTGGCTCAGGTCATGGTCTCAGGGTCCTGGGATGGAGCCCCACATTGGGCTCCCTGCTCAGCGGGGAGTCTGCTTCTCCCTCTCCTTCTTGCCCCCCCACACACACATACTCAATATCTCAAATAAATGGTTAAAATCCTAAAGAAAGACTGATGAGTCAAAGATGAGGAATGTTAGCAGAGAAATGGGAACAATGGAAAAGAACCAAATGAAAAAATCAAGAACTGAAAGATATCTAAAATGAAAACAAAACAGAACAAAAACAAACAGAATCTCAGTTACCTGGAGGTCAGTAACATCTAATGATTATGTGACTGAATCCCCAGAAAACGAGACAATACAAGAGACTGGGACAGAAAAACATTTGAGAAATAAAGGCTGAAATCTGAAAAATACCAGTCCACAGATCCAAAACCTCGAAAATACCCAAGCAAGATAAACACAAAAATACCCACACTGACCCACATCACAGCCAAACTGCCAAAAACCACAGAGAGAGAGAACATCAGAAGTAGCCAGGGGAAAAACAAAGACGTCACACACAGGGATAGAGTAAAATGACGGCTAGCCCTTCATCCAAAAGCAATGGGGACCAGAGGCACCTGGGAGGTGCAATGATTTGAGCATCTGACTCTTGATTTCAGCTCAGATAATATCTCAGGGTCGGGGACTGAGCCACGCATCAGGCTCCCCACCCAGCATGGGGCATCCTTAAGATTCTCTCTCTCCCCCTCCCCATACTCACACTCTGGATCCAAAAAAAAAAAAAAAAAAAAAAAAAAAAGGCAATGGAGGCCAGAAGACAATGGAACAGGACCACCAGAGTGCTGGGGAAGGAAAAGAGCTGTCAACCCAGAATTCTATAACCAGCAAAAACATCCTTCAAAAATAGAGGTGAAACAAAGACATTATTCCTTGAACCAAAGCTGAAAAATTCATCACCAACAGATCTGTACTTAAAGAAAAGCTCAGTTAAATGACTCCATTAAAAAAAAAAAAAAAAGAACAATGAGCTAGAAATGGTACATACCACAAACACATACAAGACACTTTTTCCTCATTTCCTAATTTATGTAGAAGACAAATTTTTTTAAAGATTTTTTTTCTAAGATTTTATTTATTTATTTGACAGAGAAGAGAGTACAAGCAGGGTGAATGGTAGGAAGAAGGAGAAGCAGGCCCCCGCTGAGCAGAGAGCCCAATGCAGGGCTCAATCCCAGGGCCCTGGGATCATGATCTGAGCTGAAGGCAGATGCCCAACTGACTAAGCTACCCAGGCACCCTTTTTTAAAGATTTTATTTATTTGACAGAGAGAGAGAAAGAAAAAGAGAGAGAGAAGCAGGCTCCCTGCTGAGCAGGGAACCCAGTGTGGAGCTTGATCCCAGGTCCCTAGAATCATGACCTGAGCCAAAGGCAGACGCTTAACTAACTGAGCCACCCAGGCGTCCCAAGAAGACAAATGTTTAAAGCAAACAGGGTAATATACTGTGGGCTCTATAGTTTAAGTACAAATGAAGTGTAGGACAATGGCAGCACAAAGAATGAGGGGATGAATGGAAGTAAACTGCTGTAAAGATCAAGGAACAAAAAAGAAATCACAAGGGAAATTAGAAAATATTGAGTTGAATGATGGTGAAAACAAATCAAAGTTTGGAATACAATCAAAGCAGTGATTAGAAAGAAATATATAGCCTTCAATGCTAATATAAGAAAGGGAAGATTTGAAATTAATGATCTGTGCATTCACTTTGAGAAGCCAGAGAAAAATTAAAGCCAAACTAGCATAAAAGGAAATAAGAGCAAAAGTCAATGAGATAGAAAATGGAAAATTAAACAGTTGGTTCTCTGACATACCACTAACAACACTGATCAAGAATTAAAAAAAATTAATGAACATTATTATAAATGAAAAGAGATCATTGCTAGATATCCTCCAGACATGAAAAAGAAATTAAGGAAATATTATGAAAAGCTTTGTTATTGACATAAATTCAACTAAGACTAAATGATTTTGAAACAATTCCTTGAACAATACAACTTATCACAACTGATACACAGAAAAAACTGTTAAAAAGAACCTAACTAAAAATCTTCTCACAAAATGCCAGCCCCCAAACTGGGAAAAAAAACAAATTCTCATCAAGTGGAAAAAATATAAATAAAATCAGCAATAAAAAGGAATGAGCAACACACACACACACACACACACACAAGGATGAATCTCAAATGTGTTATGGAGAACAAATAATCAGACACAAGACTCTGTATGATTCCATTTTTGGGCATACAGAATAGGTAAAACCAAGCTACAGTGAAAGAAATCAGGACAGTGGTCACAAAAGGTGAGTGAGGTGCCTGGAAAGACACAAGGGAACTTTCTGGAACAAGCACTTTACTTTCACAGGTGTAATTTAAATGGGTATGCATTTGTCCACTCAAGTGCACCCTTAAAATCTACATATCTCAGGGTATATGAACTACATCTAAAAAAAAAAAAAGTATACCAAGATGTTTCCACATCTCTCAGTGAGCCAACATGTTGTTTCCCCTTAAGAAATCCAGAATTAGTTCTAATTTGAAACTATGTTTTTATTTAATTATGGTACTTTTTCAGTACCTTTAAATCCACGGTGGGCTCAATCTTTTTAACAGTATTTCACTACAGGAATGTACCACAATTTTATCATTTCTCAGTGACGCATACTTTGGTTGTTTTATAAACTTTTTTGTTTAGGACAAACGAAAAACATTTCATTAAAATAAAGCCAAGTTCTGTAAATGAAGAACAATTTTTTTCCAGCTTATTTTGTTGGTATAAAAACACTAAGTTTCAAAAACTCAAAATTTAATTGTGGTTTTTTTCAATTAAGAATATAATCAGGAACCACTCAACACAGAAGAAACTTCAGATAAAGGATATTTCTTTTACCCACGTAGATTCCCCAGGCACTGGGACACAATAGAAAGTCTGTCTTTCCAGAGTGGTAGTTCGTGGGGAGTTTAAATCAACTTCTTGTTGAGGCTGTGATATACACAAAAAGCATATTTAAAGTTTTACTAAGAAAAACAAAAACAAAACTTTAATTAGCAAACCACATATTCATGTTATTTACAAAACCACAGTAAATACTTCACATTAAGAATTAAAAACTAAATACCAAACCCAAACCCATTAAAAAAAAAAAGGACATAAAATCATTTCACATGCAACCATCAATATACTACCTTCACTTAAGTGCATAATACATCTCACCCTGTCACAAAATTAAATCTTGTAATAAACAGGATACTTTATTTTTTTCAATGACAAAGCACTGTCTCTTTCATAGACCATATCAGTATCAGCCTATAAAATAGGAACTTAATGAAATATTCATTAGCAGTAACTCTGACATGAGATTTCAGTCAGATATTATTCCCCAGAAAAGGAATGTTCTCCATTTCAAATATAATGAGAAAATCCTAAGACACAGAAAGAACCCAAGATGTAATATTAAAATATTACTTCAATAAGCACATATTACTTTGAGTATATATATTACCAAAAAATCTCTTAAAAGTAAAATAAAATGTATATTCCATTTTGGTGGTGGGGGGAGGGACCTAAGACACATCAAGTTTCACCTGAGCTAGTATGTACAAGCAGGGCTTTCTATGTGTTTCTTTCTTTCCAGGACCAAAGTATTCCTGGTTTGGTGCTTCTACTTATTATTTCTAGCAACACAATACAAACTCTTTGCCTTCAGCAGTGTCACACGTGGACAGACTCACCTATTTTACTTTCCTATTTCCAGATGCTGAGATTACTAGCTTTATGATGATACTCCATTACCGTGTATTGATAGATGAGGCTAATATGGCTAAGGGCTTCTCAAACAAGGGCCACAGCAACTATTTGTAAAGTTGACACATTAGACTTGGCACCACATTTACTTTATGGAAACACTCTCAAAGAAAAAAGACACTGGGAGACCTCGAGTTCATTATGTGTTAAGATTAGCAAATCCAACTCTCATGAGTTCCCCTAAATAATTATATGAAGTTACATTTTAGTTTTATAGAATCTTTGCAGCAACCTTCCATATTAGGGCTGTTCTGCCGTCCAGACTGGCCCTGAGCTAGGACATTTTAATCAGGCACAGCTTCTACTATGAGTAAATGTGCTGGTATTAGGGCTTACAAATCAATCTCTTGAAGTTTGGGTAAGCAGGAGTCAGACTCCCAGTATGTAAAAAGCCCCACATAATGTGATTAAACTGGGAGTCTGGATCACCAAAGCAGAGAACTAGACCCAGAATGGGGGGGGGGGGGCGCTCCACCAATGTGCCACCTTTCTACTTAAGCACCTGCTGATCAATCCCCACCTGGGATACTTGTTTTTTTCCCCTCAACAACTGACAATTACCACCAGTTTCAGTAGAACCACACAAAAAAAACAATTTTTTAAAAATGCAGATATACTATAGTGTCTCTATAACTGCTTTTCTAGTAAGTTTCTTTTACTTTAAAAGAATTTACCATAACCCTCTAATTTTGAAACCAAGTGTACAGATATAAGGAAAAGAAAGGAATTAGTTATTTACAATATTCCGCCTTTTAAGAGATTTTTAAAAGATCAAAAACTTTAACAGAGAAGCTTAAATAAAAGGTAAATAAAACATTTCACATGACTTCTTAGAACTTATTTACACACAAAATAAATACACTTAAGATCAACCAAAAGAAATAAATTCACTGCTTAAGAAGTTCTTAAGATGTTTTATATATCTTAAGGATACATACCCCGCACTCTGCTACATCTCTGTATTTTCCAAAATGAAGGACCTATGATCCAAAACAAAGGATAACAGCACATCAGTATATCTGAATCAAAACTACCATAAACAACACAAGGATAAAATACCACCAATTATAAACAGAAATTTTCATGAAAAAAAGCAATACATACACGTGCTTTTGTGTTTCGGTTAACCGTTTCATAAACTCCCATGTAAAACTCAGGGTCAAACATATCCTGAATCATGCAACGAAACTTCACAAAACTGTTAGGTTTCAAATAATGAAGGGGAACTTCATTCAGTGATGGTACCTGAAAGGAAAACAAGTCAATAAAATATTATTATCTGTAGAATGTTAAGCACATATACAGAGGCTGTATATCCAGAAACAAGCCCCTCCCCACGCACCACCTCCCACCAAGCCCCATTAGGAAGCCAGTGATCTCAACAGTCAACATAACAAAAGTGCTGGACACAAAAGTATTTTTTATGTTCTTCCAAGTTTGTATAATGACATCCGACTCTAACGTAAAAGGACGCTCTTCCTTAAAAACACGATTCACAGACCTGTACCCCTGGGGATAAAAATATATTATATGTTTATAAAAAATAAAATTAAAAAAAAAAATTTAAAAAAAAATGAAAGGAAGAAACACAGAAACTTAAAAAAAAAAAAACAAAAACACTTCTCAAGCAGCAGAAAGGCATTTGCTTTGTTGAGCTCTTCGCTTAAGACTAGTACATGCCACTTTTCTTTAAATGAAGGTAATAAAGATATTCAGGACTCACAATTACTGATTTTTTTGGTCTTAGAAAGAAACACGGTCAAACACTGCCACCTAGAGGCTCCAACACAGAAGCACTGAATCGCTGGCATCTAAAATTTCATTTGGAAAAGTGCAAAATCTTTTTAATACATATGCACTTAAGCGGAAGACACTACACATGAATGTATACAGTTTAAAATTTTAGCGCTTACTTCAGCAGCACATATACTAAAATTCTGTGTGGATTACCACTCCACTGAGAGAAACTGAAAGCCCAACCCTCTCCTCTGAAAATAGCAATAAACTTACCCATTTAGGAGCGTTATTTTCCTTCAGCTTTTCCTTAAAATATTCAATTACTTTCTTCTCCCAGTCAGGATTAACTCCATTTTGGGCTGAAAGAAAAACGGACTTTTCAGAGCCAAAGGGACAATAGCTGACAAGACTATGTTCAGGTCACAACCTCGTGGAGCACTGCCACACTGGGCACTCAGGAAGCTGTCCTGTTGAGGGGCTGGGTACAACAGTGGGCAGTGCTGGCCTGGCGCAGGCTCTCAGGAGCCAACAACCTAGTTGAGAATTCCCACAGAATGAGATAGGAAGCTACCTGGACAAAGCACAGTGCTCTCTGGAAACATTTTTATACTTTGGAAACATTTTATAACTACCCTGAAATGAAAAGGTGTTCTAAAAATTTTTTTTCAATTTGGGAATAATTTCAAACTTTCAAGAAGATCACATGAATAGTACAAAGAATACTTTGTACTTTCTGCTGTATCTTTGCTCCATTTGCTTTATCTCAGCCCTTGTATGTATTTTCCTGACCCGTCTGAGATTAAGTTATACACATCATATACCCTTGCGTCTAAGTATTTCCATGTGTGTTTCCTAAGAACAAAGAGATTATCTTACGTAGCTAACAGTACTGTTACCCACCTCGGGAAATTCAAAACCGATACCACACTTTCTCTCTAACCTACCACCACACTCCGACGCTGCCCGACTGCCCTTTTTCCTCGTCAGTACAGGAGCCAGTCTAGGATCCCATATTGCTCATAGCTCTCATGTCTCTCTAATCTCCTTTAGTCTGAACAGTCCCTCAGTCTTTCCTTATCTGTGTTTTATGACATTCACGTTTAAGAGGAGTACAAAACCTGTAAAAGAAATACAGAATGCTCACTTTGGGTTTGTCTGAGGTTCATTAGGATCAGACCGCGGTTGTGCACTATCAGTCAGACTGTTCCATTAGTGATGCTGTGCCCTTGTAATGGAATCATCTAGAGACAAGAGGCCCGTCTTCCCTCACTGATGATGTTCACTTTAATCACCCAGTCAGAATGACAGCCAGTCTCCTGACAGTAGGTTACTTCGTTCCCTTTGCAACCAGTAAGTAACCTGCCAGAGACACTTGAAGACCATGCAAAAAGTTTTAGGAGTCTTGCCCCAGCCCAGTTACAGCAGCCACTGACAACTCTTATCATGAGTGAAAAATGATGAGAAAGGTGTTTTTAATGTCATATGAAAAATAAGAAAACCAGGGCACCTGGCTGGCTCAGCTGGCAGAGCATGTGACTCTTAATCTCAGGGCTTTAAGTCCAAGCTGCACGTTGGGTATCTAGATTACTTAAAAATAAAACCTTAAAAAAAAAAAAAAGGTAAGAAAACCAAGGCTTTGGGGAAAAAATTATGCGAACTGGTCAAGACCAAAGAAAACCACTGCCAGAATCAGGAACACCTATTTTGAGAGAGCGAGCAAACCACGCAGCTAGCCAATACTTCCGCCATTTATATTCATCCCTAGGTGCTCTGCAGATGTGAAGTAAAGGAACTGTCTCTACTTGTTACAGAGCTGATTGTTAGAAATACTCATAAAATCCCACTAACACCATGCTTAGCGGGGCTTCCAAACACTTTTACAAAATTGAGCAAAATCTAGTTCTGGAAAAGGGGCGGGGGATAAACTCCTCAAGTGATTCTGATGTGGAATGAGGGTTCAATTCACTAGTAAACTGGTCCTCGACCACCAGCATTAGAATCACCTGAATAGGTGTTATAAATGCAAAGTTTTCAGCCCATCACAGACACACCGAATCAGAAATTCTGGAGGTGAGGCCTAGCAGTTGATGTTCTAAAGTGCCTGCTAAGTGGTTCTGCAGTGCCGGTCCCTTTCTGCTGGCCATGCCCCCTCCGCGGGGCAGCCTGGCACCTAGCCAGAATGGCATGACCCTGAAGTCCCACTTTCACAAGGACTGGCAAAGGTGCATGGCCACATGGTTCAACCAGCCAGCACGGAAAATCCACAGACAAAAGGCCTGACGCATCACCCAGGCCCTGTGTCTGGACCCCTCCAGCCCAAGGTGAGGTGCCCCACTGTGAAGCATTACACCAAAATGAGAGCTGACAGGGGCTTCAGCTTGGAAGAGTTACGAGTGGCTGGCATCTACTAGAAGGTGGCATGGGCCACTGGGATCTCAGTGGATGCAAGAAGGCAAAACAAGTCCACAGAGTCCTTGAAGGCTAGCACACAGCGGCTGTGGGGTACTACTCGAAGCCCACCCCTTCCCAGGTAGTCGTTGGTCCCCAAGCAGGGAGAGAGGTCTGCTGAAGACCTCAAACTGGCTACCCAGCTGACAGGACCAGTCATGCCGACATGCAATGTCTATGAGAAGGAGAAAGCCAGAGGCACAATGGAGGAGGAGAACTGCAAGGCGTTGGCCAGCGTTCACATGGCCCGTGTCCATGCCCGGCTCTGGCACCCAGGCAAGCAAAAAGGGCCAAGGAAGCTGCAGAACAGGATGTTGAGAAGAAAAAATAAGTGCCATTGGCAAATTGTGACAAAAAATAGTACAAATATATAAATAAAATGCCCTCTGATTCTGATGCACACTAAAGTCTGAGAACCACTATTACTAATGCCAATAAAGGACTACTGAATTAGAAAAAAAAAAGAATGTGTGTTTTTGCTTCCACTGAAAATGGGTATTAAAGAAAAGGCCGATACACAGTCATGACAGCACACCAACACTGCTGTTCTGACTGCACTTGTGTAAGATACATGAACATGCTTGGGGAGGCTGGTGGGCTGGCTGGCTGGTTCAACTGGTGGAGCATGTGACTCTTGATCTCAGGGTGGTGAGTTCAAACCCCACACTGGGTGCAGATAAAATAAAGGAAATAAAGGGGGAAAAAAAAGAAAGAAAATGAACAAACAAACATGACCATGCCACCTAACAGATGCTGAAGCCTCATCAGAGACCGGCCAGGAGGCAGGAAGGTGTGTGTATACAGACCGGATTTTCCCCAAGGCCACCTTACAAATATCTGGTACTGCTAGACAATTAAAGGACTGCAACAGGTAATTAAAAAAATCAAGCGTGCAATAACTGTCCATTATTTATTAAGCCTACGGTGTGTCTGGCACTCCACTAGGTTCAATAAGGACATTGAGAGCTGACAAACTTAAAGGGGTGAACAGAGAATAACAGCCAAAAGCAAGAAGGTCAAATAATCTCAGAGAGGGCTTCTCGATGGAGGGGGTACTTGAGCTGGGCCTTGAAAGAGGGGTAGACCTGAAACATGCTGAGGTCTAAGAAATTGGTGTATTCCAGACATAAAGCCAGGACAAGGATGGCCCTACCAGATATTCAAGTACACAGAGCACTGAAGGTCCGAAGCTGCACGTTGCACCTAGGACTAAGTTCTGTCTCAAAATTAAGCCATTTCAGAGGAAAACAGCAGACACGGCTTAATTATTTGGCTTAACTGACAGCCCCACCTAACCCACTCATGAATTTGATTACCCAAGATAATGTATGCATCATTTTGAGTTTAAGTAGGACCAAGTTGGGTCACTTGCAACCAAGAATCCTGCTAATAAGCACACGCATATCACTTTATCATTATTTGCTATGAATTCTTGGCCATCTGAATTTGAGCATCACCACACTCAATCACTCAATCTTGATCTAGTTTAAGAGTCAAAGGAACTAGGAAAAAATATATAGGCCTTCACCAACAGTGTATGAGCTTTAGTTGGTTCTACCTCGCCAATACTTGACCTTGTCAATCTTAATCCTAGTCATTCTGCCAGATACATACTGATATGTCACTGTGGTCTTAATATGCATTTTCCTAATGACATTGTACACTTTTCATGTTTATTGACCATTTCAACGAATTCTTTTGTGAGATGCCTAGTCACAATTTTGCCCATTTTTTAAAAATGGTTTTGTTGTGGCATCACTGATTGTACTAATTCTTTGTGTATTCTAGACATGTCTTAAGTCAGATATACATGTAGAGCACATTTTTCTCCTAATGTGTACTTCGTTTTTTAATATTCTTTTATGTCTTTTGATAAGAAGTTTTTCATTTTGATGAAGTCCAATTTGCCAAGTTTTTCTTTCATAGTTACAGACCCCAAGGTCATAAAGATATTCTCCTAGGTTTTTTGTTTTCCACATTTAGGTCTGTAACTGACACCAAATTAATCTTCTTGTTTATATTGTGACATAGGGGTCAAGGCTCATTTTTTGCCAAAAAAGATCCACTTGTTCCAGCATTAATTAAAAGGCTTCCTTTCTAGCACTGAATTGTTTTGGCATTTGTGTCAAAAATCAACTCACTGTACTTGTTAGCCTATTTCTACATTCTCTATAATGTTACACTGATCTATTTGTCTATCTTTATGCTGCCTTAATACTATAGTCATACTGTGTTAACCACTACGGCTTGACCTTGAGTCTTAAAATCAAGTACTTAAGTTCTTCAACTTTGTCTTGATTATTCCCATCCTCAACATGTCTAATTTTGAGGACCACTTTATTGACTTCTGTGTAGTCTGCTAAAATTTTGATAAGAGTTGTGTTGAATCTACAGATTAATTTGAGGAGAACAGACATCTTAACAAAACTGAGTCTTCCAATCTATGAATTCTCCATGGGAGAGAAAATACAGGGGCCTACACACAGATTCCTCCAGACTCCACCTGTCTCTTTTCCCCTTATGATCCAGCTGTATATCTTCACTATTCTGCTGTAATAAATCTTAGCCTTGAATACAAATATATATGGAGTCACAGTAAGTCCTTTTAGTGAATCTCTGAAGAAAGAAGTGACCCTGGGAACCCAACACATGAGTATATTAATGGTTCATTTCTTTTAATTGCTGAATAGTATTCCATGGTATAGCTGAATGACAATGTTTCTCCATTTAGTTGTTGAAGAACATTTGAATTGTCTCCAGATCTAATAGCTATGAACAAAAACAAATACAAACATTTGTCAACAAGTTTTGTGTGAACATAAGCTTTCATTTCTCTAGGTAAAAACCTAGGAATGGGACAGTTGGGTACATGGTAAATGTATGATTAATTTTTAAGATTTTGCCTGTGTTC